ACGGCCAAGATGACCGCAGAGGTATTATTGTCTCAGGTTTTTAGGATCCATGGTTTCCCGGTTGACATCATTTCGGACCGTGGCCCTCAATTCATTTCTCGTTTTTGGAAGGCCTTTTGTTCCCTGTTGGGGTCTTCAGTCAGTCTCTCTTCAGGGTACCATCCCCAGAGTAACGGGCAGGCTGAGAGGCTAAATCAGGAGCTTGGAACTGGTCTACGCATCCTTGCCGCCGAGTGCCCCTCGACATGGTGTAAGCACCTGGTATGGGTGGAGTTTGCCCACATTACCTTGCCCACCACTTCTGCGGGTATTTCCCCATTTCACTGTGTGTATGGCTATCAACTGCCTCTGTTTCCAGCTCTAGAAGGGGAGGTCAGCGTCCCGTCTGCCCATGCACTTGTTTGGCGTTGTCGTAGGACCTGGGTTAGGGCACGTTGCACCCTCCTGAGACAATCGACGTCTTACAAGTTGGCTGCTGATCGTCTCAGGGTCCCTGCTTTGGCTTACAGGGTGGGACAGAGAGTGTGGCTTTCTACTCGGGACCTTGCCCTCCGTACGGACTCTCGTAAGTTGTCCCCGAGATTTATTGGGCCATTTCCTCTATCGAAGGTCAATAACCCTGTGGCTATTAGACTCAAGCTCCTCAGGACCATGAAGTGCCATCCGACATTTCACGTTAGTCGGGTTAAACCGGCCAGGGAGAGCACGTTGGTTCCTGCCTCCCGTACCCCTCCTCCCCCCCGGATGATTGAGGGGGGCTCGGTCTATTCAGTAAGGCGGCTGTTGGCTGTGCAGCGTCGGGGTCGTCAATTCCTCGTTGACTGGGAGGGTTACGGGCCTGAGGAGAGATCTTGGGTTCCTGCGGACGATGTTTTGGATCCCTCCCTGATTCGAGACTTTTATGACCAGCACCCGGACATTCCCGGCCCGTCGGGCACCGTGCGTGGGGTGATGTCATGGGTGGTTCTGTAGGTTGAATGCTTTGCAGTCATGTTTCTGGTTTTATTGTATTTCTGGTACTTCCTGTTTTATTTTGTGTATTCACCTCCTGTCTCATTACAGGCAGCTTCACGACCTGAGGCTCCTCACTAATCAGCCTTATGTCTTGCACCTGTGTCCTGGCTTCTCCATTTATGCTTCTCTGCAAACAGATTCCTTTGCCAGTTTGTCTTCTTCAGTTGAGTAAAGTGAGCCTGCTCTCAGTAACACTTAGGCCTAGTCCACACGTAGCCATTTTTTTTTAAAACAAATATCCGCCACTTCAAAAACTTGCATCCACACCACCTCGTTTTAAAACAAAACTCTGTCCACATGTACCCGGATAAATACGTTGTTAAGGACATGCCAGACCTGTAGGCGGCAGTACTTCCCCCGTTCTTAACCTCGTCCTTCGTCTGTGGTCTTCCGCAAGGAGCAGTAATTCCGCTTGCAAAAACAAACGAGCAAAAATCGCTTGGACAATTGATAAAGCGAGCGCAGCTCTGAGGGCATCCATGCTGTCGGCTAGTGTAAACACAGGTCGCACACGTGATGTCAGCATTTTTTGTCGTGGAAAGTGACGTTGCGGACCTTAAAACTCTGGTTTTGTCTGTCCACACGCAGACACCCAAAACGGAGAAAACGCAGATCTTCACTTTGGCCGGAGTTTTTAAAAAGATCAGTTTTCGTGTGAAAAAACTCCGTTTGCGTGTGGATGACAGGCCAAAACGTAGAAAAATATCTACGTTTTGGCAGATCCCCGACTACGTGTGGACAGGGCCTTAGTGAGAGTGTATTCAGTTAGTTTTGGACTTGTTCAGTTGTGCTGTACTGCCAGGAATCCCTTCAGCTTATTAAACTGTGTGAGCTCTGCATTTGAGTCCTCCTTTATGCTTTGATACTTATTATGCTGTGAATGCCCTTGAATAATGTCTGGTAATAAAGTAAAACTGGTGTTTAAAGGCATGTTTTCACAGTTTTATGGAGTATTTGAGATGACACAAATGTCAAAAAACAAACAAATAATTTCTGATATTTCTCCAAATAGAAAAGGTTGCTACAGCTCATGGAAACACACGTTATAATGTTTTTGGACAACCCTTGTTGAGTTGTTGTTATAATTTACATTCTCCGCTTCTTTTCCCCCACTTACAGAGAAAAATAAAACATTTATTTTCATTGACTTGCCCTCCAAAAGCCTTCATTCTATTTTAAACAAATAAAGTTAAAGTCCCATTAGTTGTCACACACACACTGATGTGTGTAAATTGTTCTCCACATTTGACCCATTCCCTGGGGGTGTGGTGAGCTGCAGATATGGCCGCACTCGGGAACCATTTGGTGGTTTATCTCCCCAATCCAACCCCTTAATGCTGAATGTCAAGCAGGGAGGCATAGGGTCCCATTTTTTCAAAGTCTTTGGTATGACCCGACCAGGAATTGAACCCTGATCTCCCAGTGTCAGGGCGGCCACTGAGCCACTGAGCAGATATTTTGTTTATGAACAATGAAAGTTCTAAATGTTTGCTTCACATAGGATTGACATAAAAGAGTTATTGCTCACATTATCCTTTTAAACACTGTTGAGTTCATGGCTGTAAAGGCAATTCACTTTTAAAGTACAATGTTGGAAGGAAAGTTGGATAAAATCTAATTACCAAAGCCAAGTATTCTATTTTCATCTATTTTTCATTAAACAGAAAGGTGCTTGTTAATCCAGTATTTTTACATAAAAAGTAAGATGCCATAACTGGTTTAATGTTTCTGTGAAGAGCAAGCTGTGCATTTTCACTACTGGGTAGAAATAAAGCCCCCACTGTCAGTTTCATTAAATTATCTTGAAAATATCATCACCTTGGGTTCATTTGTAGCTGAAACTGTCTCGTTAGCAGACGGATGGGGGAGTAACACAATAAAAATGCCTGCAGCAGCCTTAGAAATATTGTTGCTCATAGAAATGCATTTACACTTCCTTGTGTAGATTATTACCTCCATTTGCTTGACCACTGTGGAATTAGACCCATATTTCACTCACCTGAAGCAGTCTTTAAATAAAAAAGGTGTAATACCAATTTCCTAAAACTAAGAAAAACTCACAAGTACTCATCCACTAAACCAGGGGTCATCAACTCTGATCCTCCAGGGCCAATATCCAGCATGTTTTAGTTGTTTTTTTTTGCCTCAACACACCTGATTTTAATCAGTGGGTGATTACCAGGTTTCTGCAGAGATTGATGACTCTGCTGAACAGGTAACTCAAGCATTAAATCAGGTGTGTTTGGAGCAGGGAAACAACTAAAATATGGAAGATAATGGCCCTCGAGGGCCGGAGTTGGAAGACTACTTTTGATGTGCCTGCAGGGCCAGGCATGCCAGCTTAATTTTTTAAAGGCCAACAGAGCACCCACCACTCTGAAGTTGCAAGTGTAATATTCTGGTCACAAGGGGGCGATAGGGGCTGGGTGGGCTTTCATTAACCCTGTAAAGGGTTTTAAATATTTTCTAAACACAGCATAGATTTGCTTTTAACTTTTTTTGCTAACAAATTTCGGCTAACGCTAGCCTTCATCAGAGCACTGCCGATGCTGGTGGCTTACCTCCTTCTCTGTTTATCTGAGGCTACAGCAGCAGCTGAAACTTGTTAGCAAAAAGAGGAAAAGCAATGAGAATGATATCTGTTGGAAAAATCTGGGGAAAATGTCTGTGGGACAAGTATCTACTTTAACTCAAACATAAGCTTTGTTTATGATATATTTAGTGTATATAAGGACATAATTGTATTTAAAAAAGCATTAAGCACAGGTTAGAGTAATGCAATAAAACCAATAATCCACATGTTGGTACAACAAATGAGCATAAACAAATTTGTTGTCTTCTAAGAGTTCAGTGTCTTTAAAGGAAATCTGTGCATTATTTACGTCCTAGTGAAATTCTTATTCAATAAAATGAGTCAGAAAACCGATGATGGATGGTTTAGATTCGTCACTGATTCTGACAATCTGAGTTATGAATCAAACTTGAAATGCATTTAAGATAAAAAGTATTTAATGTCATTGTAGCAATGAGTACAACACATTTATTTCATGCAGGACAAAGAAAAACAGAATAGCTACACAATTCCTCAAGTTTGTCACTAAAGTTATGTGAGTTTGAACTAAAATAGTTATAAAAGTTTGACCCTCGCAGTAGAAAAACAAGCCTTTAAGAAGCTTTTCCCATTATTAATTTGTAAATGTTTAAAGAGTGAGAAACATTAAGTAGTCACTAAAAGTTATTATTCTGGCCTCAGAGAAGAGAAGTGCCACATTGTTGGGTCCAACAGAATAAGGCAGTTAGAAACCCTATCAGCGATATTATTCACTGACAGTAGCAGGTGTGAAAAAATACCCAGCCACAGGAGAGTGAATTCCAGAGAGTCTGGGAAGATCCCCCAGGTGTGTGTTTATGTTTAATTAATGTCAGCTTCTCACAAGAATTTTTCTTATTTCACTGACATAAACCCTGATGTCTCCATTTGGTGCTCTGACTGCAATATGTGTAAACCTGCAAAATAAAAAATATCCTGAGTTTACAGTGAGACGTTTATCAGTGTTTGTCCACTGTCCAGGTTTTTTTTACAGGTGCCCAGCAAAACCCTGAAATCATCTAAATATAATAAGATTTTAAAAGTCACGTATCAGCAATATTTGTCCTGATAATTAGCACACTGAAATTAATTTCAGTTTTACCTTGTTAGTAGTCTAACTTGTCCGGTTTTGCTACAAAAACATGCTTTATGAGCAACACATAACTGAAATATATTTTTCCTTCTTGGCTGTGCTTGTTAAATCTAAAGTATTTAGTCGAAATTGTTCTAACATCATATTTTTGCTAAAAATCTTACAGATGCCTTCATGGGAAAGCACTGACAAGTCTTCCTCTCCAATATGGCGACTTCGTTACGTACAAAAGCGTCTTCGGCTGACTCATTTGATTGGTCCTCATTCACCCCTAAAGACATCGTTTTACCTCGCGATACTAAAGATTCTTCCCAGTGAGGAGCAGCCCTCCAACTGTATTCAGTCGCTGTTGTGGCTGTGAGGAAGAGCAGTCATATCGTTTGTTAGGTTGTCCGTGATTCAGCCAGAGGCATATCGGGAGTGTTTTAAAAAGACCGACTAACTGAAAACAACCAGAGAAGGTGTCTGGAAGCCAAACATTTGATCCTGCAGGTAAGGTTACTCTCGTTGTGTCCTTTGCTTTTCTCCAGACAGTTAAACAACAGAAAAGCAACCTTTAACTTGTCAATTTTACGCTTAACCTCGTCTCGTGCCTGTAGTTGTCTTGGTGGAGCAGTTTTACATTGAGTGTGTTTTTTAAGCACCCAGCGTGTCGGCTGGTTCTGAGGGAACCCAGAGGAGAACACAGGAACTTCAAAGCTCACTGTCGACTCAGTCTCTGTTATGCATATCCCAGTTAGCTTGTATGCTAACAATACCTCTGCTTATTATAAAGTAGCCTGGCTGATCACTAGCTAGCTGACTGGGTCGCCTGCCAGCCCCACACAATAATATCAGCTTTCCTGTGCTTTCCTCTCGGAAAGGCGGTGATGAGGTGGCAGCTTAAATTTTGCTAGGCTACCATTCATTCATCTGTGTGTTTACAACCAGTTTTCTGTTGCTTTGCTGTTTGTTATGAAAATGTTTTACCTACAAGTGTTGCAACGGAATAGCTACTCCGCTTAGTAGTGTCACCTTTTATCGGGAACGATTTCCTTCCACCCGTGAGCTCTACACATTCCTGCTGCTGTCCCGCTGAAACTATTGTCTCTGTGCAAACCTGCATTCCAGAGGAAACCTCACACTGATTTTCTTTTTGTGGTCAGTTGTTGTTGACCGCTTCATATTTATCCCAACCAAACGTTAAAGTCTGCGTGTGACTTTTTTTTTGGAAACTAACAATTACAATTCAAAAGATAGCAATGCGATCACAAACGGACTGTGAGTGCACCTTATTGTGGGAATGCTTGAACTCCTATTTGCCGAACCCTACCCTATACAAAACCACATTAGATCTTGCAGTATTGCAAACAGGAGGAATGCTCTTCAAACAGCAGTGCCATGTATGCAGGTAGGTATTTAGTCAAATTGGGGGAAAAACATGTCATACTAGATGTAGAATATTAGATTGGTTGTTTAGGCTGGTGCAATGCAACACTGATGCAAAAAATATGTCTTAAAATAAACTTTGTCATTTGCTTCTACTAGTCTTGTGTTAAGCGGAAGCTCTGATCTTCTAGTTTTTTAGCCTTGACGTGGTAACATCGAAGATAGTTTTGCTTTATTTTGACACAACGTTTATTATGTTATACTTATCCAGGTTAATGACCCACACTTGTACTGCACCTTTCAGAATCAGAGGACTCAAATGTCTTTTATACAACGGCATGTCATTCACCCCCTGGTGGGGATGAGCTACATTGTAGCTACAGATGCCCCGGGGACACTGATAGAGGCTGCACCCAGGGTCCGAAATTAACACTCGCCACTCGCCAAATGCGAGTAAATTGCTCCATTTGGCGAGTAAATTTTTGAGCTCTACCTGCCACCATGCGAGTAAATGTTTGCACCAAATTAGTTATGTTTATCAGTCATCTTCCACGGATTTCTGACACTCCTCCCGCCTGCATGCAACGTACACAAACGTACGCGAAACGTGAGCGCCGCATCCAACGTCATTTCCACCTATCCCATTCAATCAGTTTATCAAGTTAGCAGTTAGCTTCGTGTTAAAACTAGCGGTGAAATGTGGCGGTTTTTAACTGGAGTCAGCCAGCCTTCCAAAAGAAAACTCGTCGAACTGGAAGAAAAACCACCAGGACCAGTGGCAACCAGAAGATTTTGTGAAAAGTGGCGAACCGGAGACGGCGGAGTCGTGAGACAATGGCTACATTATGATGGCCACGTAGCGTTGCTGCCTTTCACAGACAACTGTCCCTCGGCATTCTTCAAATATCCAAAAAATGCCCACAGACTTTGTCTTCTTTGAGGGATAATAAATGTCCCGAGTGCTGCCGTCTCCTCCTGCCATTATTTCAGCTTTAGCTTAAAGAAAGTTTTGGTCGTAAACAACAAAGTGCGCATGTGCCGCCGGCAACTTCAGCAGATGATACGGTGGCTGGTAAGGGTCACCGCGCCTACACCGCAGCCGCGGTAATCCACCGAGATTTTTTTTTAAACAAGACGGTTATTATTATTGTCAACTTTTTTACCGGGGTTTACCGCTACACCGGTTACCGTGACAACCCTAGCCCTGACACACTTTCAGATATTCTCATGGTGCAGCTGTGTTCTCCAGAGATCAAGGACTATGACCCAAATGAGGCTGTAATGCTTTGACACAAAGACGGTGTCAGAAGCAGGAGGCCAGACTTCATGGACAGAGAAAACAAGGAGTCTGACTAGATTTCAATGAAAGAGTTCATAAAAACATCTCTAAAAATAAATAAATAGTAAAAATGACAAAAGAGTTGTTTTCCTTATTAATTCATGTTTTAATTATTTTGTCACTCTGTTTGGAATCAACATAATATAGAATAACATGCTTTAGGTAGATCTAAATCATTTAGAATTTTGGCCAGTAAAAAATATGCTTGGCCGGTAGATTTTCATCCTCTACCGGCCAACTTGGCCGGTGAGTAAAACATTTAATTTCGGACCCTGGCTGCACCGGTTGTCCAAGTTTTGACATTTGTGTATTTTCAATATTTTGTCATCAGTCTATATATAAACCAGTATTTTATATTTGATTTTAGTACACACAATGTGTAAACTATCCTTTAGCTGATTCACAGATCAACCATGCCATCATATCCACCAATAGGAGCTTTTGACATTAGCTTGTATTGCTAAATAAATAATTTAATTGTTTAGGGTATATTGTAGTCTCATACATATACAATAGCCAAATTTAAAGGGACACTTTGTGGTTTTGGCCTGCTTTAGCACCCCCTAGTGTTTGCTTTAATTCACTGTCGTATGAATGAAACTGCAACTCTCCTCCTCGCTGTGCATTTGTGTTTTTAACACCTTAGTCTAACTTCTGAAATGTTTCCTAGGTAGTACAGGAGTATTGAACAGAGGGCAAAAGTGGCGACTAAGGTTGGTTTTTCGCTTGGTTTCTATAGTTCAAGCCCAGTTCACTTGTGGGAAGGTTTATCACACATATGTTGTACTTCAACTTAAATGAACAATAATGAAGTGCGTTTTGACTAGGTCTGTCACATCATTTGAGGTTTATTCGCTTGTAAAGTTTTGTAAATGTGAGGACTACAAATCAGATGTATATATAAAAATATATTTTGACCAGGAAAGAGGTTTTTAATCTGGCTAAATAAAGGTTAAATAAAATAAAAAAAATATAAATTCTGAAATGTTCCTTACTGTATAGAACAGGGTCAAATTTAAACATGTTTAAGTTACTTTAAATTTTTTATTTAAGTACCTCAGCTTTAACTAAAAAAGTTATTTGCATAGAATAAGAAAAATAAAATGTCAATAAACTAAAATCTAACCTAATGATGGCAAATTGTTAGGGACACACTATGTAAATTAAAACATTGCAAACCCTTGGAAATCTGAAAACAATGTTGCTTTGGGAATTTGAGGAGTTTAGTAGTAACAGTGTCATCAAAAAGAAACAGGTTGGAATAGTTTTATAAATTAAAAAGCTGAAATAATAATAAAACAATCAGATATGTTTTAACAAATTACTTTAACCTGGTAACTAGTGTAGAGTGATATCTATGCATAAAAACTGTGTTGTCTGTCAATCGGGCTCTCGGATCCTACAGAGGCCTCTAAAGTGGTTGTGATGGCAACGCGATCAGGATTCAAGCCGTTTTAGAAAGATCCTTTAATTCCTTTCAGTTATAAGTTGTAGCCACCTGATCTGATGTGACATGGTGTTTAGTTCATTTATCCTCTCACAGACCACTTCAGGAGACACTCACCACTTCCTTTTGGTAGAAAACTACAAGCCTTGCTGTTTCAAGGACATTCCAGCCCGTTCATCTGGTCATGATGACCTGTTTGTGCCTAGGTTTTATCTGCTCTTCTTTTCTTCTACATACTGTACAGTTAAATACTTAGATTGCAAAAAAAACATTTTTCATCTAGTGTGCCTCAAATGTGTTATGAGGCAATCCTGAGTGGTCTAAAGGGTTATACTAATCAGACAATGAGCCACATTTAGGACAGAAAAGTAGCTTTTCTCTTAGCACTCCCAAAATCAGATGCATTTAAATTGAGTCCAGTTCTGGTAAACAGATGGTTGTCGGTTTGTCTGTTCAACAGTTAGGGAGGGAGGGTTCAAATAGGCTGCAGAAGGATGTTTTTTTCCCCTTATATATCTCTATTTATATATATATATATATATATATATATATATATATATATATATATATATATTAGGGGTGTGTATTGTTTATGTATTTTGCAGACGCTTTTGTCCAAAGCGACTTACAAGTGATAAGCATGTTGCCCTTGAGGCTAACAACAACGATAACAACAACAAACAATTTCCAGTCAGTCGTAGGTGACAGTGAGGCAGCATGATGAATCATGGAGAGGAGGGAACAAGGAGTGGACAGTAGAGAGGGGGGGCGGGTGCAGGGAGGGTGCTAATTTAGAAGATGCTCTCTGAAGAGCAGGGTCTTCAGGAGTTTCTTGAAAGTCGAAAAGGAAGCCCCTGTTCTGGTAGTGCTTAGTAGGTCATTCCACATTTGTGGAACGATGCATGAGAAGAGTCTGGATTGTCCTGAGCGTGGTGTAGGCACTGCTAGGCGACGATCCCGTGATGACCGGAGCCGCCGGGCCGAGATGTAAGCCTTTGCAAGAGGATTCAGGTCGATGGGATACGTACCATCTCGGACTTCAAGGGCCGATTCTCGGAAGGGCCGATTTTCACTTGTAAGTCGCTTTGGGCAAAAGTGTCTGCTAAATACATAAACATAAACAAGCTTGTTAACACAAGGCTAGTTTCTTATTAGTATTGAGATGTTGCTTATGATCAAAGTAAACATTTTGGACAGGATTTAATTGTTTTTATTCAGTATGTTTGCTGTGTATTTGTAAATCCTTGTAGAAAAGTGATGTGTCACTCAGAGTGTAATGTCCGTGTTCACAAATAACCCGTAGAATAAAGTTTATTTTTATAGTTATGCCTGATCAGG